CTACAACGAAAGAAAGGACTCGGAGTAAACAAGATCCAGATAACAGAATGATACTCTCCAACCTCTCCAGACTGTATTTTGGAGCTGTTCAGAAAGCCATTGGTGTTTTCCACAAAACTCTTAGTGATAATCAGACTCCAGAAATCTTCATAGCCAAGAGCAAGCTGATCATTATGGTAGGCCAAAAGTTGGTGGATACCTTGTGTCAGGAAGCCTTTGAAAAGTCCAACCGAAATGATGTCTTGCGTGGTAGCAGCACATTTTGTGGCTTATTGAAAAGCCTGGCAATTGCAACCAAAAATGCTGCAATGAAATATCCAAGTCCTGAGGCAGTTAAAGAACTTCAGGATCAAGCTGATGAATTATCTCAATTCACACAGCAATTTCGAGATACGATGGAATGAAGGACTACTGGAACAGTTCAAAAGACAAATGTAGATGTAATGCTTGAACAGGATGAAGTACATCCATGTGGAGGTGGAGATGTATGCCAACTTCCCTCTCTGTGTCTCTTAATACAATTCCAGCCAATGTTGGGTGAGAGGCCTGCAAGAGCGTCTTCTCTCAATGGTTAAACATGATTAAATTCTTCCTCATTGTCAAGAATCCCGATATAGAGATATTTTGAGCAGAAGCCTTTATTTGTATCAGCTTGACATTCATCCTCAACATCCATACAGACATCACTTGAACATAGGTAGCTTGAGGTCAAGGTTCAGTTTATGCAACTCCATTCCTCTTTAAACTGTACATTCTGTTGAGGCATAATGTTTCATTAAGACTCTAAGCGTGTTCACAAAAACTGTGTCAATTTTTTAGATATGATAGGCCTTTTATTATTACAAAGCATGTGTGTTTGTCTGCTTGAAGGTAACAGTACTGTAGCATTCTACCCCATAGAGATGTGGTGCGAATATATACATTTAATAAAAACCTGCCAGTCAATTGATATGACAAGATTAGGGCTGTTCAGAGGACTTGTTATGAATTGTTGCAATAGTGGTCAAGCTATTAGTCATTCTTGCAACCATCCACTTGGTGGGACAAACTCCTTAAGATGGTGCAAATGCTACTGTGATTAACCATGGTTTCAGGTGTAACAGTGTAGTATGAATTATTTATGCAGCAAAAAGAATAGAAAGTATTCAACAGTCTTGTGATTACTAATTGGTCTCAGCTCTGTTATTTATCTTAATTTCTTTCTCATTTCCTTAAGCCAATTGCCCCTTTTAAAGAATTACATCATCTTCATATCAACAAACATATATTTTACTTACAGTTCAAACAGGAGCAGTGTTCACAAATAGGAGAAAAGACATTTTTCTGTCTTTTACAATGAGAGATCAAAAGGAAAACAAAGACAACAAACAAAAGGGAATCTTCCAGAACCTTATAATTAAGGTTATAATTAACCTTATAATTAACCTCTGCCTAATTATATATTAAAAAGGTACTAGGTACAATTAATCCTTCCTTGTGCATGTAGGATTGCTTAGCCAAGAAACAGAATCATGCATTTATGCTCTTTCTCATTATATACTGTATGTGAACGGCATCCTGCATTTCAGGAATGAGACAGTATATTCTCAAATTTGTGGGTGGTCAAATATACCTTAAAAAAAAGCCAGTGGAAATTTACAGGTGAAGTAGACAGAGGACAAATATACATTCTATTACCCAATCTCAGTCCTAAAAACAGGAAAAAATGCTTGGAAATGTTAAGTAACCACAGAATTGTGCAAAATGTTTCATCACAAAATATTCTGAGTGTAAAATGTCTGTTCCAGCTATTCTTTATGTAGTTTGGCTTCAAAGCATTCCACTTTCCATTCATGCCAGATCTCTTCAGGGGCAACTGGAAAGGTGCATTTCAAGATCAGAATGATTTACTTGTTATTTAATAGGTAAAAATCACGAAATGTGTGCAAAATTTTCTATCTATTTCATTTGGGCAAGGGTATGTCTTGGAGTACATTGCAATCTGTGAGCTAGACAAAATCAACTCCACATAACAAGGGTCCATAGTATATCTTCCAGATGCTAACTATTTCAATTCTTGTAACTTCTACAAAAATGATAATGTTGTTGTTAATTGCGAAGTCGTGTCCGACCCATTGCGACCCCATGGACAACATTCCTCCAGGTCTTCCTGTCCTCTACCATCTTGTGGAGTCCATTTAAGCTCACGCCTACTACTTCAGTGACTTCATCCAGCCACCTCATTCTCTGTCGTCCCATTCTTCTATTGCCCTCAATCTTTCCCAGCATTAGGCCCTTCTCCAGTGAGTCCTTCCTTTTCATTAGGTGGCCAAAGTATTTGAGTTTCAACTTCAGGATCTGGCCTTCTAAAGAGCAGTCGGAGTTGATCTCTTCTAGGACTGACTGGTTTGAACGCCTTGCAGTCCAAGGGACTCGCAGGAGTCTTCTCCAGCACCATAGTTCAAAGGCCTAAATTCTTTGGTGCTCAGCCTTTCTTATGGTCCAACTTTCACATCCATACATTGCAACTGGAAAAACCATGGCCATGGTTTTTCCAAAATGATAATACCTTGCCAATAAATCAGGTCTTGTTGTGCACGTTACTGTGAATACATTGTGCACTGAAGTGTCAGCAACCACTTCAGTTTATTTATTTATCAAATTTATATACTGCCTATCTCACAATTTAAGTGACTCTGGGAGATTGACAAATAACCATTAGTCTCTGGCTTTTAAGACAGCAGGAGAAGGTAGATATCTTTGAATTATGGATTTGAAGACCATTATTCATGTTCAGGTCCCATGAACAGCGAGAATGAACAATAAATTAGTCCTTGAGAAAAGCTGAATGTGCTCTTATGGTGATGAGGAGTAAGCAGAAGTTCATAAAATGATGTTCAGTCCTCCCCCAGCATGTTCATACACCAACAATATTGTTCTTTTTAGTGCCAAAGACAAAATTTTACCAAACATTCAGGAAGAGCAGAACTGTTTTATCAGCTTACTGAATTAACTCATTTTTTGGCTTTACATAATACTCAGAACCACACACAAAATGGCCTATGATGAACACACTAACATACAAGAAATGTTACCAAGGTTAACACTAACTGAATTTACTATGTTATATGACTGCGTCCATTAAGTCATTACCTGCCCTGATTAAACACATTGTGTAAATATAGACACAGAGTATTGGAGACACTGATCCTTCCACCTTCAATAGAAAACTTATTAAAGATTTTCAGTTCTCTCTGCTATTAATTAAAACAGCCCAACTTTTTTTAAAGTTTTGTCAAAAAATATCACATGCTGGTGTTAAAGGAATCTATTCATTATAGTGAATGCAAATCTTTTCAAGCTCATTAGACTGAGTGATATTTAACACTGGAAATCAAATATTGAGTTCCAATAAAAAATATGTATCTGATAGTTGAACTGTGAAGTTCTTGGGGCTCTCTGAGCTTGGTTGATTCTTTTCATGGTGAAAACTCTTTCATCTCACAATAAATGGACAGAACAAGCCAGAGTTTCAATCGAACTATTATTAATCTTAGATCAAACCCAATCAAAATGCTAGGGAATTCGGGGAAGCTTGGCATGCAGACAAATTAATCTCAATAGACATATAGAGATAAGCCACATTTACACACCATTCAAAAGAGTAAATAAATAAATAAATAAAAACCTAGGAAGGAATCAGAAAGAATAGAACACATCCCCATATTCAAATAAGCAGGGATCAACGCCACACAAACAACCAAAGAAGCACCTAATATCCTAATCAAGGAACTACCAAGAAGAAAGCTACACTCTCACCAACATTGGCAGGGCAAACTATGTATATAAACAGGGACAAACCCCACATTCATTGGCACTGATGATGTAACTTAGTTGGGGAATAAAACGTCTTCAAGGAAACAATCAGCACCAAGAACTCCAAAGGCTGAGCTCCAGAAATCAAATATTTTGTTATTTGTGAAGTTCAACTTTACAGATCATAGAAATGTACACAAAGTTTAAATTCACCACCAATCAAAAGTGTGTACAATCACACCTTACCACCAGATCCTTCCTATTATTCCTCCACTGCAAGTCCCCTGGTGCTCACCTGAAGACAGAACAAGAAGCAATGGATGGAAGCTAATCAAGGAGAAAACTAACCTAGAAATAAGGAGAAATTTCATGACAGTTAGAACAATTAATCAGTGGGACGGCTTTTGGTTATGGGTGCTCCAACACTAGAGATTTTTAATAAGAAATTGGACATCCATTTGTCCAGAATGGTATAGGGCAGGGGTAGGCAACCTCGGCTCTTTTATGACTCATGGACTTCAACTCCCAGAATTCCTGAGTCAGCATAGCTGACTCAGGAATTCTGGGAGTTGAAGTCTATGAGTCATAAAAGAGCCGAGGTTGCCTACCCCTGGTATAGGGTCTCCTGCTTGAGCAAGTTGGACTAGAAGACCTTCAAGGTCCCTTCCAG